TGTGTGTGTGTGTGTGTGTGTGTGTGTGTGTGTATGTGTGTGTATGTGTGTGTGTGTATGTATACATATATACATATATTTTCATTGCTTTAAATTCGAAATTTATGTTAATCACAATTAAAAAAAATCTCGACACAAATTTCTCTCGAGATTGCATCGTTGATGTGCTGCAATAATACGCAATATCACTTAGGATTTTGCAATCCACAATAGAGATGGTTCTACAAAGTAATAATCTGTAGAATTTTGCGGATATGATCGAGGCTCAATGGAGGATGTCGTCAGAAGACTGATATCATTTATCTGAATGATGTCATTTTAAAAAGTATTTTCACTGCGATAGTAATAATTAGCTTTTTGCGAAATCGCATGAATTATGATGTCAGCCGAACGATAGAACACGGTCGCCGTGCCAAAACCAATTTGGACGACCTCAGGAATGCATGAAGACCGGACATACACAAGTATACTGGCTTTAAATGCATCTTGTAATTTTTGAACACATCACCGCGAGAAGTGGAAAACGGCGTTATTTAATACAGGCAATAATACCGCGCCTCGAAAAGCTCGTCGAGTGAGTCATTCAATTTGCGTCGTTCGATTTTAACCCTTGAATGCGTAGACTTTATTCATCTTTATATTCAATTTTACTTTATACTCTGGACTTTTTCAAGCTTCATCCTCTTTGCCCTTTTCTGTAGTTGCAATCTCAAAATATTAATTTCTTACTCTTCAACGGTTTTATTTTCCTTTACACTCGGCCAGCTATTGTAAACAAAGAATTATGTATTCATGCCTTTTAACTTTAACTTAAGACACGAAAAAGAAAACGAGAATAGTTAATTGAACGACAAAATGAATGAAAAATATATGAGAGCGAATCTAGAATGTAGCTGGCAAAACTCAAAAGTCTCAGAGAGAATTGTCTTTTATCTCGTATTTCTATAATATGGTTAGATCAGATGATTTCATTATTCAATCGGTACACACCTGTATACATTATGTATAATAATAAAATTACATATGATGAGTTGCTAAGATAAGATCGTCTCATATTTAACAATTCCCAAGCCCAGTTTAATGGTACGAGAAGAAAATTAATACGCCTGTAGCAATCATCTAAGTGCTTTCTTTTTTACCTTCTTTCTAAATTAAGCAATGTGTAATCCAATTAAAAAATCTCATATTAAATATAACTTATCGCAAATACAAACATTTTCAAAAAATGTTATCTTTATTTTATTATTAAAGAAAAAATTATCTTTATTATTAGGAAATTGCAGTACATATTGTATATAAAATTAAAGTAGATTAAACACACGCGTTTATCAATTTTTGCTTAAAAAATTGTTAGTACCTGCAAACAATTCATACTTGAATTATTCTTCAATTTGCGTTCAATTATTCTTCAATCGCTAATCAGTACGATTTATTGGCAATCAAGAATGTGATAACAACGTATCTAAGGCAATCAACTGATTATAGAGTTAAATTGAAATCGATTGCAGAACCCGGCTCGCAGGACCGTTCGTGCAAATGAAATTGCTTTACACCACCGTATTAATTGTATCCTACCTGTGTCGTCACAAGTGTATTCATTCTTTTTTTTTCTCTATATCTTAGTAAGAATATAATCCGAATATTCTCGGTTATCGGATGCAATGCGATGGTAGGTGTAACTAGGAACGTACACGCATTCCTGACTTGTTTAAGTTTAAAAAAAAATTGAAATGCAACGGAGAGAAATGCATAAATAATGTTAAAGGACACATTAACATAACTTCCTGCTTGAATGAAATGGCACGCGATTCGCCATATGTGAGATCATATATTTACTTTTGAAACACGCGAAGTACCGAAAGTTTCCGCTGGAAATTTGACAAGAAATCCTAATCTTGTTTATTGAGATATTAATAAAATGCATCGATCAATTCGCTGATGACGCGGACTGTGGTTTTATAAATTGCTAACGTTAATTAGATATTATATGAAGAAATATTTGTATTCAAAATATTTTCCAATTCGTGATTGTGTTTCCATATAATGTACACGATAAAATAAAAATTAAGAACTCTCTATTATTTAAATTATTTTTATTATAATTGCAAATATGTAATCCAATTTCTTCTTGCGGTATTTAAAATATTGATTTTACTGTTAATAAGTATAACATCAGAGATTATGGAAACACATAAAGAAGTGCATAAGATATTTTATATTTAATTTTTTCTCTTAACATTAAAATAGAATTGTTTGTAATTTAGTGGATAAACGAGCGACGCATGCATTGATAATGAACCAAATACATCGTTTACTTCCGGCGTTGGTTGACGATCGAAACACATATTGCGGTATAGGTCAAGGATAAACCTTCATGTCACAAGCAGACACTCCTATAATTCCATCAAATCGACGAATAATCATAAATCATATTTAATCTTTTCATATTTATATTGCAAGATTTTTTTAGATTTGTATTGCAAGATATTTCAAGATTTTTTTATTCAGATGTACAGAAAAAGTAGTGTGTAATATAAGAAAGTTATCACATAATTGAACAAATTTAAAGAAATTTAAACATAGTTAAAATCAAAATCCTGAAAATATAAATTTATTTGAAATAATCCTTTCTAAAAATTCGAAGCTTGATTTAATCCTTTCCAACTAAAATTTATTCAAGTTAACTTAACAATTCGTTGCTTCCTTTATTCATCAGAAATATCAGCATATAAAGTGATCGTTTGATAAACATATCGGTAAAAAGTGAGCCTCGTGATGACACCACTGAGCTGGAAAAAGCTTTAGAGAGGTGTTCCCGTCGTGCGTGTGGTATATCGTTTGTTGTTCGATACTCGATGCATCCGACGCACACTGCATCGCGGTATATTAATTATAAATTCATCATTTTTCGATGCGACATCACTAATGAAAGCTACGCGAGCTGACAGCTATCGATCAGACAGAACAGCGTCACATTAAATTCTAAAATTAACTAAAAGCGACTAGCTTTGAAGAAGCGACTTTAAAGAAAAATCACGATAAAACATATGCGATGTGCCGGAAACTTCGTTAGATTTCTATGCGCGCGACGTGCATAGCACGTGTTGCAAAGTACTGTCAGTAAACTGCACAATGAATCACTCGACTATAAGTGTTTCCTCGAAGGCGACATTAAGGTGAAATGTAATTAATTAAAGGATATATCCACTTTAATGAAAGAATTTCGATATTACATTGTTACAAATACTTTTTTACCTTATCTGCAAAAATTTGAATAATTTATTTTTCTTAATCTTAAAGTTGCATTATAAATTTTTTTATTCAAATTTTCTTTACATGAATTAACAAATCATAATAAATTAAAATTTAATTTTTCTTAAATAATTATCTTGCTAAGAAGCAATTTTTACGACGAAATTGAAATGATCGCAATTACAAAGTTACATACAAATTTAATTTCGCACGCGGAATTATATCCCGATGGCGCGCACATTTTTGATATTTGATCATTTACCTATTAGAAAATTCTTATTATCGCAATGTTGATAATCGATAGATACCCATCAACTATTCTCGAGCGTGCGAAGTGAGAGAATTAAATTCGTAAAGCTTCAGATGTTTTCGTGCGGACAACATTTCACTTTCTTTTCAATCAAATCAAATTATCAAGTGAAAATTGTGACAGCGAATGATGGATCTTAATATTGATGAAAACATATTTGATGACAGGTGAGCGATATTCCGTACTTCGCTGTCATGTTCGGATACGTAATCCATTCGCAGGAAAGGTAGCCTGTCGAAAAGTACGGATGTGACGTTTCATATAAGAACATAAATAGTTTCCTGGTCTCCATCGATTTTACACGGCACGTTATCGCGAGGTGAATCTAACGGAAATATATCTTTGTACGCGATTTCGCCACAACGGTTTTTTAAGAACATGAAAGGCTATTTAACCTCGCGAAGATAGCACCCGTATTGATAATCAAAGCCATCCTTCTGGAGAAAAAAATCGATTTTTTGCTCAACGTTCCGTATGCTTTATGTATACAAAATGTTTCAGAAATTATAATACAATCGAGAAGGAGATAATTAGTACTCTTGTAAAAGTAAGTAAAAAATATAGAACAAATTTTTTCGTACAGGATGATTCTGTTTTAAAAAAAATCAAGAAGTTGAATATTCGTTAAATACATAGGTACTTAACTAGTTACAATCTGCTTGATTCATTCAATCATGATTCAATGCTATTTTTAGGCCAGTCTGAGTTTGGTATAATTTAAACTAATGCAATAAATTTCAATAATGTATTTATTTTATTAATTGAAAAATTATTAAAAATGTACGAAAAAATTTTATCTATATTTTCAATTTATTTTTTTACTTGAGGAATTACCTCCTTCCCGATTATGATTTCCAGAACATCCTATGTATATACTTCATAGTGATAAAATTTGCGCCCACTCGTCATAAAGTGAGTCAAATAATAGTCGACGAACTTTGAAGAAAAACCGAAAATTTCGTGAAAATCAAGTATTTCGATCGGTTTAATCATCAGTAATACATATTATGCTAAATGCCTAACAAAAATGCGCGCATTAACAATTAATTTGGAGAGAATATTAACGATTCATTTGAACTGAATATTATAGATGTTAATTAATTTGTATATATTTGTATGCATTATAATTTACAATGAATTATGAGGAATACAATAATGAAATAAATCAGTTAAAATCTTTTGCAGAGGTGTTTTTGAAAAAACGGATAAGAAGATGAACGAGCAAAAGAAGGAGGCAGAAGTTGAGAAAACGCGTTTGGATCGGTGCCAACGAAGGGCCGAAAGGAAATCTATATGCCATTGTGAGGAGAGAACTAGAACTAGAAGGAGAAGAAGACGAAGAATTGTCTCACAGAATCCCTTTATCATTTTTTATCTTGAGATGTATTATAAAATGCCTGGCAAACATGTGACAGAAGTCGCTCGTCAGGCCGGCAAGGAATGGTGTGCTTTGCCTGACGAAGAGAGGATGAAGTACGTACGTTTGGCAGAAAGAGAAAAGAAAAAACGCCGGGGAGGAAGGAGGATGAGAAGGGGACGAAGGAGGATAAGAAGGGGACGGAGGAGGATAAGAAGAAGACGCAGACGTGGTTGAAATTATTAAACATTCTAAAAAAAAAATCCGTCAGTTATACAAAAAAAGCAAAACAGATATAATACGAAAAATATGAGAAAATAATAAATCGATCTATGATCGATAAAACAACATATTGAAAATTTCTGTTCGTTGGAACACGTTTGTAACCTTTAAATTTTCATTTTATTTCAAAGT